AGTGTGTGTGTGTGAGTGTGTGTAAGTGAGTGTGTGTAAGTGAGTGTGTGTAAGTGAGTGTGTGTAAGTGAGTGTGTGTAAGTGAGTGTGTGTGAGTGTGTGTGAGTGTGTGTAAGTGAGTGTGTAAGTGTGTGTGAGTATGTGAGTGTGTGTAAGTGAGTGTGTGTAAGTGAGTGTGTGGGAGTGTAAGTGAGTGTGTGTAAGTGTGTGTGTAAGTATGTGTGTGTGTGTAAGTGCGTGTGTGTGTGTGTACGTGAGTGTGTGTAAGTGAGTGTGTGTGTGTAAGTGTGTGTGTGTGTAAGTGCGTGTGTGTAAGTGTGTGTGTGTGTACGTGAGTGTGTGTGAGTGTGTGTGAGTGTGTGTACGTGAGTGTAAGTGTGTGTGTGAGTGTGTGTGTAAGTGAGTGTGTGTACGTGAGTGTGAGTGAGTGTGTGTAAGTGAGTGTGTAAGTGTGTGTAAGTGTGTGTGTGTACGTGAGTGTGTGTGTGTAGGGGGTAGAGGTGGGACACGTGTGTGTGTGTAGGGGGTAGAGGTGGGACACGTGTGTGTGTGTAGGGGGTAGAGGCGGGACACGTGTGTGTGTCTGTGTAAGTGTAGCGGTTAGCGCGTTTCGCTACGAACCTGGCGACCCCAGTTCGATTCCCGCTCACGGCCAAAATCAGTGATGATTATCGGAACCGGTTCTGGGTCTCCCCTAGGTCGACTCAGCCTCAAATGAGTACCTGCTGCGGTGTAAAATATCGCCACTGGGGAGACAAAGGCGGTCGGGCGTGGCGTTGTGCATTTAGCAGGTGCTTGTTAACAGCACTTGCCCCAACAGTCTACGTAGGCTACACGGGGGATCTTTGTCTGTCGTCTTCATAGGATTCGATGGCTGTGGTTTCCATCACCACCAGCACCGCCACCACCATCATCATCACCATCATCATCACCATCATCATCATCACCGTCATCATCATCATCACCACCATCATCATCACCGTCATCATCACCATCATCATCATCACCGTCATCATCACCATCATCATCATCACCATCATCATCATCACCACCATCATCATCATCACCGTCACCCATGGTCGATCCACCGTGGGATGAAGCCCTCCTCCCTCCCCCCGGTCCCCTACACAATCCCATCACGTTACAATCCGCATTGCTGCTCTCCACCAACACCAACCTCACCACAAACACCACCAACATCACCAACATCACCAACATCACCACCAACATCACCAACATCACCAACATCACCAACATCACCACAAACATCACCAACATCACCAACATCACCAACATCACCACAAACACCACCAACATCACCAACATCACCAACATCACCACAAACACCACCAACATCACCAACATCACCAACATCACCACAAACATCACCACCAACACCAACATCACCAACATCACCAACATCACCACAAACAACACCAACATCACCAACATCGCCACCAACATCACCACAAACATCACCACCAACACCAACATCACCACAAACACCACCAACATCACCAACATCACCACAAACACCACCAACATCACCAACATCACCACAAACACCACCAACATCACCAACATCACCAACATCACCAACATCACCACAAACACCACCAACACCACCAACATCACCAACATCACCACAAACACCACCAACATCACCAACATCACCAACATCACCACAAACACCACCAACACCACCAACATCACCAACATCACCACAAACACCACAAACACCACCAACATCACCAACATCACCAACATCACCACAAACACCACCAACATCACCAACACCACCAACATCACCAACATCACCACAAACACCACCAACATCACCAACATCACCAACATCACCAACATCACCACAAACACCACCAACATCACCAACATCACCAACATCACCACCAACACCACCAACACCACCAACATCACCAGAAACACCACCACCAACACCACCACCACCAACACCACCACCACCAACACCACCACCACCAACACCACCACCAACACCACCAACAGCACCAACACCACCACCAACACCATCACCAACACCAACACCACCACCACCAACACCACCAACACCACCACCAACACCACCACCAACACCACCAACACCACCACCACCAACACCACCAACACTACCACCACCAACATCACCACAAACACCACCACCAACACCACCACCAACACCACCACCAATACCACCACGATGCTGCTGCTGATGATGCTGCTGCTGGTGATGATGCTGGTGATGATGCTGCTGATGCTGCTGATGATGCTGCTGGTGATGATGATGCTGATGATGCTGCGGCTGATGATGCTGCGGATGATGATGCTGCGGCTGATGCCACCACAGGCGGCGATGATGGGACGCCACCTCCCCAGCGGAGTCCTTCGCCTGCCGCTCCGCGACTCCTCTCGCCCGGCTGCCCCCCCCAGCCCCCTCCGTGCCCCCCCCCCACCCGTGCCCCCTGCTACACGAGACGCGGTCCCTACCCCGAGCAGCAATGGTTAACGTGCGGAGTGCCTTAGACAGACAGTCCGGTAGCTTAATTGATCGTAAATATTAAGTCTTGATGATGTAGCATCGTCAGCAGCAGCAGCAGTATCGGCATCAGCAGCTGCATCATCGTCAGCAGCAGCTGCATCACCATCAGCAGCTGCATCATCAGCAGCTGCATCATCAGCAGCTGCATCATCAGCAGCTGCATCACCATCAGCAGCTGCATCATCAGCAGCTGCATCATCATCAGCAAGTGCATCGTCAGCAGCTGCATCATCATCAGCAGCTGCTGCCCCATCATCAGCAACACCAACATCAGCAGCATCATCATCAGCAGCTGCACCATCATCAGCAGCAGCATCATCATCACACGAGTGCGACGCTCCAGGAAAAATAATGTGCACGTGGGGAGCGGTGGTGCAGTGGTTAGCGCACCTGCGCAGGCGAACCCGGCAGTGACCCGAGTTCAATTCCCGCTCCGGGCCGCCAACATCAGTGACGAAATATCTGAACCGGTCCTGGGCCTCCCCTATAGCGACTCAGCCTCAAAACGAATACGTGGCGCCGCGGTGCGTAAACATCAGCGTCGGGGAGACAAAGGCGGCCGGGCGTGGTGCTGACTGCACCATCCCCTCGTGTGCCACAGTGCCTGTAGCCTTCATAGGCGCTACACGCTAACAGCACTTGCCCCAACAGTCTGTTACAGGCTACACGGGGGCTCTTTGTCTTTGTATAGAGACGTGTATGGTTATCTATGAATGTGTATAGCTATGTGTATGTACGGTATATGCATGCGTGTGTGTGTATATCGTTAACAGCTTCTTGCGACTATGCCACTTGCCCCGGCAGTCTATTAAAAGGCCATCCTGGGGGATCTTTGTCTTTGTGTCGCTGACAGCACTTGCCCCGGCAGTCTGTTGAAAGGCTACCCGGGGGATCTTTGTCTTTGTGTCGCTGACAGCACTTGCCCCGGCAGTCTGTTAAAAGGCTACCCGGGGGATCTTTGTCTTTGTGTCGCTGACAGCACTTGCCCCGGCAGTCTGTTAGAAGGCTACCCGGGGGATCTTTGTCTTTGTGTCGCTGACAGCACTTGCCCCGGCAGTCTGTTAGAAGGCTACCCGGGGGATCTTTGTCTTTGTGTCGCTGACAGCACTTGCCCCGGCAGTCTGTTAAAAGGCTACCCGGGGGATCTCTGTATTTGTTACGCGTGCGAATGTGTATGTATGTTTATATATATGTGTGTGTGAATGTGTCGGTATGTATATTTGTATTTTCGTGAATGTTTATTCTGCATTCAAGTTGTTCACAAGACATGTGGCGGTGGTGCAGCGGTTAGCGCAACGCTGCGCTACGAACCCGGCGACCCGAGTTCGATTCCCGCTCACGGCACAACACCGGTGACGATTATCTGAACCGGTCCCTGGGCCTCCCCTAGGTCGACTCAGCCACAGAAGGAGTACGCCTGGCGCGGTGTGTAAACATCGCCACAAGGCGAGACAAAGGCGGCCGGGCGTGGTGCTGTTGGCCACCTTCACTCCATTCGTGTGCCACACTTGCCGGCCTTCGTAGGTACGACTCGCGAACGGCACTTGCCCCAACAGTCTGTCGAAGGCTATTCGGGGGATCTTTGTCTTTGTTGTATTTCTGCGCGCGAGTATCATACGCGTACGCGTCTGTGGACTGTTTCAATCGGTTTTTGCTTAACCCGTAACCGTACGAAACAGCGGTAACAATCGGTTCTCGGTTTTACGTATATACACTATGTATATATATAAATGTTTCGCAACAAATGTAAAACATTTTTTTTTAGTTTGTTTTAAGTTTAATCGAGAAAACGAAGGCAGGTGCGACCGGTGGCGGAACGGCAACGCCAGACTGGACTCGCGATATGCAGCAAAAGCGCCCGGTCCGACTGCTGAAGTTTAACTCCATGGCTGGGGAGCGCGGGGGGGGGCGAGTTGATCACACCCAGCCCCTCCCCTACATCCCCCCTCCATCCACCTCCCCTCCTCCATCCACCCCTCCCCTTCATCCCCCTCCACCCCTCCCCTTCATCCCCCTCCACCCTCCATCCCCCCTCGCTCCGTCCACTCCCCAATGAGTGTAATTGGGCACAGCACCGCATACCGTACAGTAACAACCACACGTGAGCAGTGTCTGAAGGCAGTGGGCGTGCTGGCGGGGCACAGCGTGGAGGGGAGGAGGAGTGGGGGGGAGTGGGGGGGAGTGGGGGGGGAGTGGGGGGGGGGATGTAAAAACACAACGGGACTACAACGTCGGGCACGGGTTTTAAGGCAAAGTCGCTCTCCGGGTGAGCTCCATCTGTTGACAGTGGCCCATCCAGCGGCAGAGGTGGGCAGAGAACTCAGCCGTTGCAGGGGCTGCGCCTCTGGCTTGCAGCATCATCAGCAGCAGCAGCATCATCATCAGCAGCCTGGTGGATGGTCGCGTGCCGCGCGGCCCGAGTGATCCCACCCTGTGTGTGGGTTTTTTGTTTGTTTTCAATCGAAATCTCCACCCTCCGCCGTTGCTTTCGCGAACAAGTCCAGGAGGATGCCGCGGTCCAGGTTACGCCCTGCCGTGTGATTGTGCGGGGCGAGCACAACGCAGGACAACCGTGGGGTGACGTTAAAGAGCGCGGGGAGCCAGAGAGGACGCGTCTCGACCCAGCGTCCTCTGGTCGAACAAAAGAGAGCCGTCTTTTGGTGCGGACTCAATCGGTTTCAAGGACAGTGAATGCATCATGCGATCAGAGTTTGTTTTGTTGTTGTTGTTTGAATGCAGTAACGTGAATCCTCGTGAGAAAAAAAAGGTTTCAGTTTGGCGTTTGAACATCCTAACACAGCCGTTTTGTTGCCAGAAAAAAGAAGGGAAACCCCTATTATCAGTAACAATACTGTCGACGTAATCAAGCGCCCTCTGAACAGTCGTTCCCGGGGGCGCTTAAACCACTGGAGCGGACTACGACACCGGCTTAACGCGCCCCCCACCCCCCCCCCCCTGTACGGCGACTTGACTCTCCAACGAGGTGCCCCCCCCCCGATCGCCTTGTTCCCAAGGCAGGAAGCAGGCAGCACCAACGAAAACGAAGAGGAGACTTTTGTTTGGTTCGAATTCGGTAAAGTAAGAAACAAACACAAAACCCTCGACATTTCTAGAAACGCAGTGCGATGCGCGACCCTCCTAAACGGTCCTTACAAGACTCAAAAATAAAAATAAAAGACTCGGGGTCGCATGTTTTTTTGACGAACCCGTGGGGGGAGTGGGGAGAGATCTTAAGTTGAGAGTCTCTCGTTCCTGGGCTGATCGCGATGTTGACAACCACGCAGCTCCCAAGGCTCTGGGACGCGTGGTGCGTTGGCCAATCAGACGACGCAGACTGGGTAGAGCCATTCAAGTCCCGCCTTGGACAGCTCACGCCTCTTTGAAACGGCCGTTTACCCTGATTCTGGGTGAGTGGGTGAGTTAGTGAGTGGGTGAGCGAGAGAGTGAGTGGGTCAGTGGGTGGGTGAGCCAGTGGGTGAGATTCTGGGTGAGCGGTTGAGTGAGTGAGTTAGTGAGTGGGTGAGCGAGAGAGTGAGTGGGTCAGTGGGTGGGTGAGCGAGTGGGTGAGATTCTGGGTGAGCGGTTGAGTGAGTGAGTGAGTGGGTGAGCGAGAGAGTGGGTCAATGGGTGGGTGAGCCAGTGGGTGAGATTCTGGGTGAGCGGTTGAGTGAGTGAGTTAGTGAGTGGGTGAGCGAGAGAGTGAGTGCGTCAGTGGGTGAGTGAGCGAGTGGGTGAGATTCTGGGTGAGTGAGTGGGTGAGTCAGTGAGTGGGTGAGCGAGAGAGTGAGTGGAACAGTGGGTGGATGAGCGAGTGGGTGAGTGGTTGAGTGAGTGAGTGGGTGAGTCAGTGAGTGGGTGAGCGAGAGAGTGAGTGGGTCAGTGGGTGGGTGAGCGAGTGGGTGAGTAGGTGAGTGAGTGGGTGAGCGAGTGAGTTGGTGAGCGAGTGAGCGAGAGAGTGAGTGGGTCAGTGGGTGGGTGAGCGAGTGGGTGAGTAGGTGGGTGAGTTGATGAGTGAGTGAGTGGGTGAGCGAGTGAGTTGGTGAGCGAGTGAGCGGGTGAGCGAGAGAGAGGGTGAACGAGCGGGCGGGCGAGCGAGCGAGTGGGTAAATTTGCTATTACCCGGACCTAGTTCTATATATTTCCCGATATCCATACAAGGGAGTGCATTGGAATCTACGGATGAATTGCATAACTTGACAAATGTTAATGATTATTCTTATCACACTGGAGCGGTGGCGCAGTGGTTAGCGCTCGGCGCTATGAACCCAGCAGCGTTCGAATCCCGTTCACGACCAACACCACTGGTGCCGATTATCTTTAACCAAGTCCTGGGCCTCCCCCTTAGGTCGATTCAGCCGTAAAATGAGCGGCTGATGCGGGCTGTTTAAGCCGTCAGCACTGGGGGAGGCAAAGGCGACCGCGGAAAGGTTCCGGCTACACCACCGCCTCGTGTGCCGTGACGGCCTTCATAGGTGCTCGCAAACAGCACGCACCTTTCCTGCAGTACCGCGAGTGGCTCCTAATCACCTCTCTGGGGTCGATGAAATGAGTACCACTTTGTGTATTATCACATGGATACACTTGCCCCCGTCATAGGAATGTGGAATTGCCGCCACTGTCTAAAAAGCTGGTTGCGGGCGGGCGGGGGGGGGTGAGAGTGAGTTAACGCAGCCCACTATCTCACTGGTGGGGAGGGTCGATAAAACGAGGACCACTTTGTGGGGAAGGCAACGGCGATTGATGGTGCTGTGGATGGAATCGCCCCCGCCAGAGGCGCGTGGAATTGCCACCGCGGGCTCTGCAGCAGCTGGGCTGTGAGCGGGAGATGAGTACCGATGTCTCGTCGTGTCTGGGAACCATTATCACTAATGATCGCCCTCCATTGCTCCCTGCCATTCCCATTAAGGAGCAAATTCATAAATATACATGCGTGTTTAATAATCTGCCTCGAAACAAATGCGCGCTTTCACCCCCAATGAACGGGTTGATCTGATTGTGCAACTGTCTGTCTCTGAGTGCGCGCGAGTGGGGGAGCGGTAGCGTAGCGGTTAGCGCGCTACGCTACAAACCCGGCGACCCGGGTTCGATTCCCGCTCAACAGTGACCATTATCTGAAAACCGTCCCTGGGCCTCCCCTAGGTCGACTCGGCCTCAAATGAGCACCTGGCGCGGTGCGTAGTAAACATCGCCAACTGGGGAGACAAAGGCGGCCCAGGCGTGGTGCTGGCCACCCACCGCCTCGTGTGCCGTTCCGGCCTTCATAGGCGCCACCCGGTAACAGCACTTGCCCCAAGTCTGCTACAGACTATACGGGGGATCTTCGTCTTTGTGTGCTCGTCCGTGTTCGTGTATAATTCATACGTGGCGAGCGGTGGCGCGGTGATAGCAAGCAAACCGCGCCACGACCTCAGCGAACCTAAGTTCGACTCCCGGCCACGGCGATAACGAATCGGTGGCGAGTGACGGACATCTCAACCGATCCTGGCACAGAACGTGCACTGCATCCAACAGAGACAAAGGTCACCCGTATAGCCTTGACAGGCTGTGTTGGGGCAAATGCTGTGAATGCAAACGTATACAAACCCACGTAGGGCTTGACATTGTATTGTGTACAGTGTACACTCACAATACACTCAGTAAATACATACGGAGAAGACAAAGATCCCCCGTGTAGCCTGTGACAGACTGTTGGGGCAAGTGCGCGTAGCGAGTAGCAGCACCTATGAAGGCCGGCACTGTGGCACACGAGGAGGGTGGTGTGGCTGACACCACGCCCGGCCGCCTTTGTCTCTCCCCCCCCCCCCCCCCCCCGTGCTGGTGTTTCACACGCCACACCATCAGGTGTTTTGTTTATTTAAGGCTGAGTCGATCCGGGGGGGGGGGTGAATTGAATGCCGGATACACGCAGGTACAAGGTCTAGGACACACGTTACACACACAACACACACAACACAACACACACAACACACACACACAACACACACACAACACACACACAACACACACACGAAACACATACACAACACACACACAACACACACACACGAAACACATACACAACACACACAACACACACACAACACACATACAACACACACAACACACACACAACACACACAGAACACACACACACGAAACACACACACACAACACACACACACAAAACACACACACACACGAAACACATACACACAGAAGAAGAAGACGACCCAGTCACACACAGGAGACACACACACGAATAAACATCGACTCATCAGGATCGTGGTTCTATCCACCGCTGCATGAAGACCCGTGCCATGTCATTAACCTTCGTACGCTCTCTCATCCACGTGTTCCCTCCTTGTGTGCGTCCCGAGCTTTAATCTCTGCGCACTTTTCGGCCGATCTCAACGAGAATGAAAAGAAAGCCACAATTTTAAACGTAACCTGCAAGCAAGCCGTGCCAGCGTCTATTACTGCCACGAAGTCATCGGCCATGGTCAATCCACTGCTGGATGAAGGCCTCCCCAAGCCACAGAGGCGTGCGGATCAGAAACACGGTCACTGTGTTTGTGGTTTGTGATGGGGGAGCGGTGGCATCGTGGTTAGCGCACCGCCCTATGAAACCCGGCCACATGAGTTCCATTCCCGGCCGCGGCTAACGTCGGTGGCAAATACGTGAACCGGTTCCGGGCCTTCTCTAGGTCGACTCAGCCTTAATTGAGTGCCTTTTTTTGTTTTTGTGCTAACATCAGCACTGGTTCCTAGAACCAGGTCCCTAAATCAGGAAGTCTGGAACCAGGGTCCCTAGACCCAGAGTGAACATTTTGTATGGGTAAGCAGATGGGTGAGCAGATGGGTGAATGGCTGGGTGAGTGGGTGGGTGGGTGAGTGGATTGGTGAGTGGATGGGTGAGCTGATGGGTGAGCGGATGGGTTAGTGGATGGGAGAGTGGGCAGGTGGGTGAGCGGGCAGGTGAGTGGGTTGGTGAGCGGATGGGTGAGCGGATGGGTGAGCGGATGGGTTAGTGGATGGGAGAGTGGGCAGGTGGGTGAGCGGGCGGGTGAGTGGGTTGGTGAGCGGATGGGTGAGCGGATGGGTGAGCGGATGGTTCAGTGGATTGGTGAGTGGATGGGTGAGCAGATGGGTGAGCGGATGAGGGAGCGGGCAGGTGGGTGAGCGGGCAGGTGAGTAAACGGGTGAGTGGGTGGGTGATTGGGCAGGTGAGCGGGTGGGTGAGCGGTCGGTGAGTGGATTGGTGAGCGTGTGGGCGGGTGTGTGAGCGTACCGATGAAGATGAGCCTGCTGAGGCGAGGCTCGTCAGCGGGCCACGACGCTGGAGCCTCCTGCTGCTCGAAGAGCTCCCGCACGGCCTGCACGAGCAGCGGACGCACAGCGCCACACATGCTCACCAGGCCCTGCACGCACACACACACAGACACACACAGACACACACAGACACACACATACACACAGACACAGACAGACACACACACACACAGACACACAGACACACACACACAGACACACACACACAGACACACACAGACACACACAGACACACACAGACACACACAGACACACACACAGACAGACAGACACACACACACACAGAAACACAGACACACACACACAGACACACACACACAGACACACACACAGACACACACACAGACACACACACAGACAGACACACACACACAGACACACAGACACACACACACAGACACACACACACACAGACACACACAGACACAAAGATAAAGATCCCCCATATAGCCTTAAAAGACTGTAGGGGTAAGTGCTGTTAGCGAGCACCTATGAAGGCCAGCACCACGCCCGACCGCCTTTGTCTCCCTAGTGGCAATGTTTACACACCGCACCAGGTACTCATTTGAGGCTCAGTCGACCTAGGGGAGGCCCAGGACCGGTTCAGATAATCGTGTTGGCCGTGAGAGACAGGGGGAGATACGGGGGGAGACGGGGAGACACAGGGGGGAGACAGGGGGAGACACAGGGGAGACACAGGGGGAGACACGGGGAGACACGGGGAGGAGACACGGAGTGACAGGGGGGAGACAGAGGGAGACAGGAGGAGAGACAGAGAGGAGACAGGGAGAGACAGGGGGAAGACAGGGGGAGACACGTGGAGGAGACACAGAGAGGAGACACGTGGAGGAGACACGGGGAGACACAGGGGGGGAGACAGGGGGAGACACGGGGAGGAGACACGGGGTCTACAGGGGTGAGGAGACACGGGGAGGAGACACGGGGAGGAGACACGGGGAGACACAGGGGGGAGACACAGGGAGGAGACACGTGGAGGAGACAGGGGGAGACACGGGGAGGAGACACGGGGAGGAGACACGGGGTCTGCAGGGGTGCAGACCCAGCCTGCGGGGAAATGGGACCCCCTATGGCTTCCCATGAGTCACCTCGACCCCATAACGCCCCCTACCTCCTTGTTAATTAAACGGGGCTCAATTAGGGTCTGTCCCGTGGCAGTAAAGAGAGGCAGGAGTGGGCAACCACGAGGTCGATTTAGCCTGAAATGTGTAGAGCCTGGGGTTACGGTTCGTGGTGGTGGTGGTGGTGGCGGTGATGCTTGATTGTGACGAAGGTTGTGGTGATGATGGCAGTGGATGTGTTAATAAATGGGGTGAAGACGGTGGTGGCTGTGGTTAATGGTGGTGACAGGAGTGATGTTGGTTGTGGTGGTTGTGGTTGCAGCGGTGTAGTATCGGTGGCGATGGTGGTGGTGGCGGTGGTTGCGATAATGGTGGTGCTGCTTGTGGATGTAGTTGTGGTGGCAGTGGCCGTGGTGGTGTGCTGTTGGTGGCGACGGTGGTGGTAGTAGTGGTGGTCGTGGTAACGATGACGACGACTACGACGATGATTATGACTAAGACGACGACGATGATGACGACGATGATGACCATGACGACAACGACGATGATGATAATGATGACGACGATGATGACCATGATGGTGACGATGACGACGATGATAATGATGACGACGATGATGACCATGATGGCGACGATGACGACGACGATGATGACCATGATGATAACGACGACGATTATGATGACTATGATGACGACGATGATGACCATGATGACGACGACGACGATCATGACTAAGACGACGACAATGATGGTGACAATGATGACGACGACGATGACCATGATGATAACGACGACGATTATGATGACTATGATGACGACGATGACAATGATGACGACGATGATGACCATGATGATAATGACGACGATGATGACGACAATGATGACAACGACGATGACCATGATGGCGACGATGATGACGACAATGATGACAACGACGATGACAATAACGACAATGATGACGAAGCGACGACGTGATTGCTTGTGCAGTGCTCACCTTCATCCGCAGGACTTCCATGGGCAGCCCAGCTGCATTGTGAACGCTCTTCTCCCACAGCAGGCTCTGCACACCAAAGACAAAGATCCCCCGGGTAGACTTCAGCAGACTGTTGGGGCAAGTGCTGTTCAATGGTATATGTATCGACGGTATATGTATCGACGCTATATGTATCGATGGTACATGCGCTGGTGGTGTGTGGGTAGCCCCCCTGGTACAAGTTGTAGCGGTAGTGCACGTAGACTGGAAGGGTGCCGTCTCACCTGCAGGAACCAGTCCAGTCCGCGCTGGGACACCGTCCCCAACACTTCGATGGTCACGGTCCCGATACTCTGCGTTGAAAAGACAAAGATCCCCCGTATAGCCTTTAACAGACCGCTGGGGCAAGTGCCATTCTAGAGGAGCAACACCTATGAAGGCCGGCACGGCACACGAGGGGGTGGGCGGCCTGCATCACGCCAGACCGCCTTTGTCTCCCCCAGTGGCGATGTTTACTACGCACCGCACCGGGGGCCTATTTGAAGCTGAGTCGACCTAGGGGAGGACCGTGACAGGCTCAGAAATTCGTCACCGATGTTGGCCGTGAGCGGGAATCGAACCCGGGTCGCCAGGTTCGTAGCGCAGTGCGCTGACCGCTACACTGCCTCTCCCCACTCCTCACAACCACACACACACATACACACACGAGCGCACTGATACACCCATGCACACACACACACACACGCACTGATACACCCATGCGCACACACACATACACACACACGCGCACTGATACACCCATGCGCACACACACGCGCACTGATACACCCATGCACACACACACACACACGCGCGCACTGATACACCCATGCACACACACACACGCACTGATACACCCATGCACACACACACACACACGCACTGATACACCCATGCGCACACACACACACGTGCACTGATACACCCATGCACACACGCGCGCACTGATACACCCATGCACACACACACACATACACCCATGCACACACACACGCACTGATACACCCATGCACACACACACACACGCGCTTCCTCCTGACTTTATGACACTTTAAAACTCTGACCTCAATTCCTGTCCGCTAACGGCTCCTGCCAAGGAAACCTACATCAGTAAGACATGTCTCCTCCTCCTCCTCCTCCTTCTCCTCCGATGAGCACGGTTGGCTACGAATGGTGCGGACGACGTCCAGCGTACGCACACACATGGCCACTTGAGACTACTCAGAAACTAACTCTGACCGCACTGTTGTTCGCATCGTTATAATTATTATAACTGCTAGGAGATGTTAACTACCTCGCCCGGTATGCAGGAGGTCGTGGGTTTCGATACCGACCCTGACGCCTGGTGCTGCTGCTGTATATTTGGAGTTTGCCTGTCTCTCTCTCATCATCATCATCACGGTGGCTAGGAGATGTTAACTACCTCGCCCGGTATGCAGGAGGTCGTGGGTTCGATACCGACCCTGACGCCTGCTGCTGCTGCTGCTGTATATTTGGAGTTTGCCTGTCTCTCTCTCATCATCATCATCAACATCACGGTGGCTAGGAGATGTTAACTACCTCGCCTGGTATACAGGAGGTCGTGGGTTCGATACCAACCCTGACGCCTGCTGCTGCTGCTGCTGTATATTTGGAGTTTGCTTGTGTGTCTCTCTCTCTCTCCCCGTGGTCTCGCGGATTTTTCTCCGGGTCCCCCGGTTTCTCCCTCCACGTCTAGAATCGACGTCGCCACGCGTTTTAGAGCATTTGGCTGCCGTTAAACGTCCGCCATTGGTGATGGGCAAGCCCCTTTCGTCGAGCTAATCACTCGTGGCCACGTCGCTTCTGTGGAGGAGCCACCTAGCTCAGAGGGCCCTGGCCTGGCAAAAAAGAACAAAAACATTACGTTTCGTTTCAGTTTTAAGTGCCGTGACACGGAGCGCCGGCGCCGATATCGCGATGGCAATTTGGGTTTGACTTTGAGTCTTGCCCGGGACGGGGCGAGAACCCCGCGAGCCAAGCTGGGCTCCAGTGCTGGCCGGCGCTAGGGTGGCCGGCCACAGCGGCGCGGGGTGCCACGGTGGCGCACGCTGCCGGGGGCCTCCGAACGCGGCGACCCGTCTCGAGGCTCCTCGCCGTCGAGGCCGAGCCGACCTAGGGGAGGCCCAGGACGCGTCACCCGCCCCGCTCGTCGCCCGTGGGGCTTCGCTCCCTTCGCCCTGGTCACGCAAAAAAAAAATGCACCTGAAGCTGGGGGAACCTGCATCCCAATGGCCCTCCCGGCCTCTCCCCCTCTCTCTCCGTGGGTCTCTCTCTCTCTCTCTCGGCGTCTCCGCGCGGAGCAAACGAGCGGCCAAATCACGTGGACGTGAATCCCTCCGGACGACAAGAGTCGTCGCTGGCCTCCATTGGCCCTGCAGGAGCCCGTCAATGTTAAGAGAAGAAGTGGGGGAATGGGGGGCAGCCTGAACAAAACAAGACCCCCCCCCCCCCCTGCAGAGAGAGTCACAAAGAGGTTGCGAGTGAAGAGTTGGGCGAACAATCCGCGATTTATGACCCCGCGCCCCGGGTTTAAGAGTTTGTTTAGGACCACGAGCCTCGGTCGTTTGTTGCTCCTGAAACGGTCTCTGACCTCCCCCTAGGTCTACTCGGCCTCCAATGAGTAACCCGTTGTGCGGTGGCGCGGTGAACGCCGCCGCCACTGGGGGAGAGACAAAGGCGGCCGGGGCGTGCGTGGTGCTGGCCAGCCACCGTGTTTGTGCGCCGTGCCGGCCTTTAAAGGCGCTACTCGCTAACGGCACCTTGCCCCAACAGTCTGTTGAGGGTACCCAGGGGACCTTCGTCTTTGCCTCAGAGCAGTTCCTTTCTCATCATCCTCTCACTCTCTCACTCTCTCACTCTCTCACTCTCCCACTCACTCACTCTCTCACCCTCTCACTCTCCCACTCACTCTCTCACTCACTCACTCTCTCACCCTCTCACTCTCCCACTCTCTCACTCACTCACTCTCCCACTCACTCTCTCACTCCTCACCCTCTCACTCTCTCACCCTCTCCCACTCTCTCACTCTCTCACTCTCTCACTCTCCCACTCACTCACTCTCTCACCCTCTCCCACTCACTCTCTCACTCACTCACTCTCTCACTCTCCCACTCACTCACTCACTCTCTCACCCTCTCACTCTCCCACTCACTCACTCTCTCACCCTCTCACTCTCCCACTCACTCACTCTCTCACTCACTCACTCTCTCACCCTCTCACTCTCCCACTCTCCCACTCTCTCACCCCCTCACCCACTCACTCTCTTACTCTCTCACTCTCCCACTCTCTCCCACTCTCTCCCTCTCTCACTCTCTCACCCTCTCACCCACTCACTCTGCCACTCTCTTACCCTCTCACTCACTCACTCTCTCACCCTCTCGCCCTCTCACCCTCTCACCCACTCACCCGCTCACCCGTTCACTCTCTTACTCTCTCCCACTCTCTCCCACTCTCTCACCAATCCACTCTCTCACTCTCTCACCCTCTCACTCTCTCACTCTCTCACTCTCTCACCCTCTCCCGCTCTCTCACTCTCCCACTCTCCCACTCTCTCAAACTCCCGCCCTCCCACTCTCTCCCACTCTTTCACTCTCTCACTGGGGGAACGTTGGGGAAACGTTGGGGAAACGTTGGGGAAACGTTGGGGAACGTTGGGGGAACGTTGGAAAAGCGTTGGGGAACGTTGGCGAACGTTGGGGAAACTTTGGGAAAACGTTGGGGAACGTTGGTAAAACGTTGGAAAACGTTGGGGAACGTTGGGGGAACGTTGGGGGAACGTTGGGGAAACGTTGCCGGCTGAGCCGAGTCCCGTCGACAAGAACCCCTTTGCGCTCTTCGCCAACGGGGCAGCGAGGAACGCGGATAAACAATCCGCCAGGTCGCTCAAGGACCACTCCAGCCCCTTAGGCTCACAAGTGCCCACCCTGTGAATCGTTTTGATCGACGCCGTTTACGTATTCCTCGACGCACCCTTTAGGAACGCATCCCCGGCGTAAACCGGGCTGTGTTGAATTTCCTTTGCACCGTACGTTGCCATCCACGCTAATCGGAGGTGTGGATTACTGTACAGAATGTGCCGTGGTGCCTAGGAGATGTTAACTACCTCGCCTGGTCGACAGGAGTTCGTGGGTTCGATCCTGACCCTGACGCCTGCTGCTGTATATTTGGAGTTTGTGTCTCTCTCATCATCATCACGATGGCTAGGAGATGTTGACTACCTCGCCTGGTCTACAGGAGGTCGTAGGTTCGATCCTGACCAGGAGTTAGCATGTCTCTCTCTCTCTCTCTCATCATCATCACGATGGCTAGGAGATGTTAACTACCTCGCCTGGTACACAGGAGGTCGTGGGTTCGATCCTGACCAGGAGTTAGCATGTCTCTCTCTCTCTCTCATCATCATCATCACGATGGCTAGGAGATGTTAACTACCTCGCCTGGCACACGGGAGGTCGTGGGTTCGATCCTGACCAGGTGTTAGCGTGTCTCTCTCTCTCTCTCCCCATGGTCCCTCCACATTGCGTCCGTAGCAGTAGCCGCAGCAGGCAGGGCTCTGCTGCCGAGTGGCGGGGAGGGGGACGTTCCACCCGGCGTCGTCAGCTCTTTAACACGACGGCGCCGGCGGCTCATCCCGCGCACGCCACTCGTCGCGGCGACGTGGAATCGCCACCTCCCCCGGGGGACCGGTGCGCTGCTGCGGGGACAGGGAAGGTGCTGTGTGCGCACGGCTCCCGCGCTGCCGGAAAGGGTCCGCTCACTTTGTCCAGGTGCGAGGGTTCGTCCTCGCCACGCTTCGTCAGCTGCGCCAGCCTCTCCCGAAACCTGGCACGCGGCAACGCGACGCGCCAGTCAATTGATGCGTACGCTCGCCCACATCTCCACCACCCCCACCCCCCCTACCCCCCACCAAACTCGCATCTCGTCCCATCTCATACACACACGCAGCTATAGACGCGCGCACACGCATGATTACAAAGAAAACGATCCCCCGTTTTCTTTGCTCCAACAGACGACTGAAGCAAGCGCTGTCAGCGAGCAGCACCTGCTAAGGCCGGCACGGCACACGAGGGGGTGGGTGGCCAGCACCCACGCACGACCGACCTTTGTCTCCCCAGTGGCGATGTTCACTACACACCGCACCAGGTACTCAATTTGAGGCCGAGTCGACCTAGGGGAGGCCCAGGACCGGTTCAGATAATCGTCGCCGGTTATTGGCCGAGAGCGGGAATCGAACTCGGGTCGCCGGGTTCGTAGCGCGGCGTTAACAACTACACTACCGCTCCCCACACCATCATCACCACCAACAATATCACAAAATCAACACCACCACCACCGCCACCACCCGTACCAACACCACCACCACCACACCATGCATTACTCATTTTAGGCTGAGTCCACCCAGCGGTGGCCCTCACCTGTCTCCCGTCGTGGTGTCGTAAGCGTGGAGGTCCAGCACTTCCCCTAGGTCCACTCTGGCGGAACAAAACAACAAAAAAACACCCCAACTGGGTTAGTTTTACAGCTTCGAGCACTGGTGCCCCGTACACCTTTGATGCCTACAACACCGCACCAGGTACTCATTTGTGGCTCAGTCGACCTAGGGGAGGTCAGACAACGGTTCACAGACCGCAGCAGCAGGAAGTACGACTCGCCACCGATGTTATCCGCGAGCGGGAACGGAACGCGGGTAAGCTGGGTCCGCTCCAACACGCGCACACACAAAGGCAAAGGTCCCCCGTCTAGCCTTCGACAGGCTGTCGGGGCAAGGGCTGTCATAGCGAGCAGCAGCGCCTACGAAGGCCCGCACGGCGCACGAGGGCGAGCCGTTGTCTCCCGAGTGGCGACGGGCGGACACCGCCCCGGGTACTCGTTTGAGGCCGAGTCGACCTAGGGGAAGCCCGGCACCAGGGTAGATACTCGCCAACGACGCCGTCCGTGAGCGGGAGTCGAACGCGGGCGGCCGGGTTCGTGGGGCGGCGCGCTAAACCGCTGCCCCACCGCTCCCCACTCAACACACACACACACACGCGTAAAGACACACGCACACACACGCGTAAAGACACACGTAAAGACACGCGTAAAGACACACGTAAAGACACACACGCGCACCTGACGTACGTGCAAATCACGCTCGTAATTGACTCTCCACGCCCCCCCCCCCTTCTCCCCCAACTTCACAGTGCCCCCCCCACGCCCCCCCCCCCCACGCCCCCACCCCAACTCGCACGGTTTAAATCCTAAACTGCCTTCATAATGTCAGCGCGACGCAAGTTACGACAGCGATTGATGGCCCGCGCGGATTTAGGAGCGGAAACGGCGCGGTGGTGCCGGCCGCGGTGCCGCGCGAGTACAGACGGCTGGGACAGGCAGAGAGACAGGCAGAGAGACAGACAGAGAGACAGGCAGAGAGCCAGACAGAGAGCCAGACAGAGAGACAGGCAGAGAGACAGACAGAGAGACAGGCAGAGAGACAGAGAGAGACAGGCAGAGAGACAGGCAGAGAGACAGACAGAGATACAGAGAGACAGGCAGAGAGCCAGACAAAGAGACAGAGAGACAGGCAGAGAGACAGGCAGAGAGACAGACAGAGAGCCAGACAGAGATACAGACAGAGAGACAGGCAGAGAGCCAGACAGAGAGACAGAGAGACAGGCAGAGAGACAGGCAGAGAGACAGACAGAGATACAGACAGAGAGACAGGCAGAGAGCCAGACAGAGAGACAGGCAGAGAGACAGGCAGAGAGACAGGCAGAGAGCCAGACAGAGAGACAGACAGAGAGACAGGCAGAGAGACAGACAGACAGGCAGAGAGACAGAGAGAGAGACAGGCAGAGAGACAGGCAGAGAGACAGACAGAGATACAGAGAGACAGGCAGAGAGCCAGACAGAGAGACAGAGAGACAGGCAGAGAGACAGGCAGAGAGACAGACAGAGATACAGACAGAGAGACAGGCAGAGAGACAGGCAGAGAGCCAGACAGAGAGACAGGCAGAGAGACAGGCAGCCAGACAGGCAGAGAGACAGGCAGAGAGCCAGACAGAGAGACAGGCAGAGAGACAGGCAGAGAGCCAGACAGAGAGACAGGCAGAGAGACAGGCAGAGACAGACAGAGAGACAGGCAGAGAGACAGACAGAGAGACAGGCAGAGAGACAGAGAGACAGGCAGAGAAACAGAGAGACAGGCAGAGAGACAGACAGAGAGACAGACAGAGAGACAGGCAGAGAGACACGCAGAGAGACACGCAGAGAGACAGACAGAGAGACAGACAGAGAGACAGACAGAGAGACAGGCAGAGAGACAGACAGACAGGCATTGAGACAGACAGAGAGACAGACAGAAAGACAGACAGAGAGACAGACAGAGAGACAGGCAGACAGAGAGACAGGCAGAGAGACAAACAGACACAGAGACAGGCAGAGAGACAGGCAGATAGACACGCAGAGATACAGGCAGAGAGACAGAGAGACAGGCAGAGAGACAGACAGGCAGAGAGACAGGCAGAGAGACAGACAAAGAAACAGGCAGAGAGACAGACAGAGAGACAGACAGAGAGACAGACAGAGAGACAGGCAGAGAGACAGGCAGAGAGACAGGCAGCGAGACAGGCAGAGTCAGCAGTGCGTACGCGCAGACACACACACACCACTCCACTTCACACTCCACAACCCACTCTCTACACACCACGCATCACACCCCACACCACACTCCGGCCCTGCCGAACAATCGGAAGTCGTGAACTTAGCTGGTCACAGTCGGGCTCCCAGACATTCTCCTCCTCCCTCTCCTCATCTCCTCCTCCCTCTCCTCATCTCCTCCTCCCTCTCCTCATCTCCTCCTCCCTCTCCTCATCTCCTCCTCCCTCTCCTCATCTCCTCCTCCCTCTCCTCATCTCCTCCTCCCTCTCCTCATCTCCTCCTCCCTCTCCTCATCTCCTCCTCCCTCTCCTCATCTCCTCCTCCCCTCCTCCCTCTAATCTCCTTCCCATCTCTCTCATCTCCTTCCCGTCTCTCTCATATCCTTCCCATCTCTCTCTCATCTCCTCCTCCCTCTCCTCATCTCCTTCCCGTCTCTCTCATATCCTTCCCATCTCTCTCTCATCTCCTCCTCCCTCTCATCTCCTCCTCCCTCTCCTCATCTCCTTCCCATCTCTCTCATCTCCTTCTCATCTCTCTCATCTCCTTCCCGTCTCTCTCATCTCCTTCCCGTCTCTCTCATCTCCTTCCCGTCTCTCTCATCTCCTTCCCGTCTCTCTCATCTCCTTCCCATCTCTCTCCTCTCCCACCAATACACTTCCTCCTTTGTATTCTCCTTCCTCCATCTCCTCCTCCTTCCTCACCTTCTCCCACTGCCCGGTCTCACACTCTCTCTCTCTCTCTCACCATCTCCCCACACCCGAACTCTCCCCTCACTCACCGCGTGATTTATCCGTTTCACAATTTACCCGTGCCGGGTCTCGGGCTGGGAGATTTACGTGGACGTCGCCGTGTGAAATAGTGAGTGGGCCGGGAATAAAATTGTCCACCCTCATTAGGGGATGGATGAGCCTCTAATGGGGCCACATCCATAACGGTGCAGATTTACACCGGGCGATAGGTAATATGCAGGGATGGAGGGGGACGGGGAGATGGGGGACAGGGACGGAGACGGAGAGACGGGGACAGAGAGAGCGGGGTGGGGAGGGGGGACAGGGAGATTTTTTTTTTACAAATATTACATAGAAAACACAGGGGGAACATAGACATGGAGTAGGGAGAGAGGGGGTAGAGAGAGAGGGGGGTAGAGAGAGGGGGTAGAGAGAGAGGGGGGTAGAGAGAGAGGGGGTAGAGAGAGAGAGGGGGGGTAGAGAGAGGGGGTAGAGAGAGGGGGTAGAGAGAGGGGATAGAGAGGGTAGAGAGAGGGGGTAGAGAGGGAGTAGAGAGAGAGGGGGTAGAGAGAGGGAAGGGTAGAGAGAGAGGGGGTAGAGAGAGAGGGGGTAGAGAGAGGGGGTAGAGAGAGGGGGTAGAGAGAGAGAGGGGGTAGAGAGAGGGGGTAGAGAGAGGGGGTAGAGAGAGGGAAGGGGTAAGAAGGAGGAGAGCAGAGCGTGAAATCTTTCGTGAAATCTTTCATTTAAAAGGGGGGGGGGGGCGGTTTACATAAAGCAAAGCATTAAAAACAAAAAAACCGAAATGATGAACGAAGCAAAGTGCCGCCTACACCGAGCATCTTCTTGTTTCCTCTGATCGTTAAAGAAAAAGAGACAGGGGACAGAGGGACGGAGACGGGGGTGGGGGAGGGAGAGAGACCTGATATTTGTTTGTTTGTTAATTTTGGGTCAACTTGCGGAGATCGCGCAAATATAACGCAGCGATCATCGGATGCCAGGACGCAGCGGCATCCAGAGAGAGGGGAGAGAGAGGGGAGAGAGAGAGGAGAGAGAGGGGAGAGAGAGGGGAGAGGGAGAGAGGAGAGAGAGGGGAGAGAGAGGGGAGAGAGAGAGGAGAGAGAGGGGAGAGAGAGGGGAGAGAGAGGGGAGAGAGAGGGGAGAGAGAGGGGAGAGAGAGGGGAGAGGGAGGGGAGAGAGAGGGGAGAGAGAGGGGAGAGAGAGGGGAGAGGGAGGGGAGAGAGAGGGGAGACTACAAAATATTGACGAAGGCTCTCTCCCTGCGACTGAATGGGGTGATTGCACAAGTCGTACACGGGGACCAGTCCTCCACCATCCCCGGACGAAGCATCCACGACGGCATCTTCCTGGTCAGGGACCTCATCGCGGTGTCCCAGAGGTTGGACATCCCAATCGCGTTTCTGGCCCTTGGCCAGGAAAAGGCTTTTGACAGAGTGGACCACAAGTACCTGCTGGGAACCCTCAAGACCTTGGGTTTTGGGGATGCCTTTGTCCGAACGATCCGCCTACTCTACACCAAGGCGGAGTGCATGATCAAGATCAATGGCGCCCTCACTGCCCCGGTCAAATTCGAGCGAGGAGTGAGACAGGGATGCCCATTGTCGGGCCAACTTTATGCCCTGGCATTAGAGCCTTTCCCGAGTCTCATAAGGCGGAGACTCAGCGGCCTGGTGCTGAAGGAACCAAGCGTCAAGTTGGTCCTGACGGCACACGCCGACGACGTCCTCCTCATCCTGCGCTCCCTGGATGATGTCGCCCTGCTGCATGAGTGCCAGGAGGTCTTTTTGAAAGCCTCCTCGTCAAAAATGAACTGGCAAAAGTGCAACGGCCTGCTGGTTGGAGCGTGGGACGTGACCGAGTGTCCCGAGAAGGCAAAAGCCATCAATTGGAGCACCACCTGGGAGTGTTCCTCGGACCAGAGGAGGAACCACCGCAGAGGAACTGGGTCGAGCTGGAGGAGAAGGTGAAGGAGCGGCTGGGCACCTGGAGTCGCCTGTGCAAGTTCCTCACCTTCAAGACAAAGACGTTGGCGGTGAACCAGCTGGTGACGTCCATGCTGTGGCACTGACTCTTCTCCCTGCACCACCCCATGAGCCTCGTCAACGCACTTCAGAAGCGAGTCCTCGACTTCTTCTGGTCGGGTGGAGGACACCGGGTCGCGGCTGGAGTCCTGGCCCTGCCACTGGACGAGGGCGGTCACGGGCCGGTGTGCGTGCGGAGTCAGCTGGCCACCTTCCGACTGCAGGCAGCGCAAAAGTTCCTGCACGCCGCCCCGGCACCGGCCTGGAGCGTCACGGCCTCCTTCCTCCTGAAACAGCT